ACTCTTTCACATTATGAATTTTCCAGGCACTTACTTCTTTTGATAAAAAAATGGGGACGTCGTAGCGGGGTTATTAATTCGATGGATGGTCTTCTTGCGAGTTACGCCCTAACTGTTATGTGTGCTCATTTCTTGATTAAGGTTGGTAAACTACCCAAAGTATCCACGCTACGTTCCACAGATGAACCACAGCTTCTTCCATTTTTTCCGGAGTATCGTCCACTAAATGATGGTAAAGGTTTGGATGTTGCAGAGCTTGGTTTTTTGACTGCAGCCTTTTTTGAGTACTATGGTCATATCTTTGATTACGAAAAAAATGTTGTTTGCACGACGAATATGAATCTTCTTAAGAAAACGATGCGCTGGGAAAAATCCCCCGGTTTGGAAACTGGACGACCACCATTTTTTGAGTTTGCCATTAAGGATCCATATGGTTTGGATAATATAGGAAGAAACCTTGACAGAGAAGCCACAGAATACGTTAAAGATGCTCACATTGTCGCCCTAAAGTATATTCTTGATGAAAGAAACGACCCCGAGTTCACTATCAATAATATCACGCAATCCCCACCACGACCACAATGGAAGGATCGCACGTTGGCATCAAGGGGTATTGCCTCTTCAAATTGCTCGCCTGACCAACTAGAGGCTCATCACATGCTAAAACGGATGGAGTTTCATGAGCGCAGAAAGGCCATGGAACGTTTTGGTCAACGAACTGTAAGAAGCACAGAGCAGCAGCGTGTTGTATCAAGCGTTGCTAATGACGTTCTTGGTTGGATACGTGGCGACGACTCGCAACAATAAAAATGGCAAAAAGGTGGTAATTTTCAGCATTTGTAATGTTGCTTATTATTATTATTATTATTATTATTATTATTATTTTCAAATGTATTGCGCTTCTGCAATCATTTTTTAAAGAAAAGATCGTAGAAACTTAATATAAAGTATTTATTTGCTTTACTGTTTATTATAATTTTTTTCTGCTTTTTTTTTTTTTTTTTTTTTTTTTTTTTTGTTGTTGTTGTTGTTGTTGTTTTTTGCCTTTTTTATCAGGTTTAATTCAGCATGTGTGATGTCCTCAAGAAAATCCAGTGGTCTCCACAGCAGAGAATTGTCTCGAGTGTAGAAACAACCTCTACAGAAACCGATATTTCATGGCTAAAATTAAGTAATATTTTTGAGGGACTCTTTGTAACATGTGAGGAGACCATATGTAATCGTTTTTTTGCTCAGGAGAATGGAATTTCTCTTATTTTAACTCTAAATGGGAGTGATTATGTAGCACCCTATAGAGTGTATGAGTATTCTTCAGATTTACAGCGGTGTGTCTATAACAAATTGTCGTCATTTGACGCTTTTGTGACCCAAATTGATCATTACATTTCCAAAGAAATCCCTGAGGAGATTCAGTTGCGGAAGGTTTTTATTCGCTCCGTTTCTGCTGAAGATAGTCCGGCGTATGACATTAGTCGTCATTTTTCCGAATTGTGTACGCTTATTGAGCTTGTTATGTTAAGTCGGACAAAATTTAAAAATTGTCCTTCGTCTTTACATGCCGTGGTTGTACATTGTCTTGTGGGGGTGAGTCGCTCTGTTTCAGTTGTTATGGCCTATATTATGAAACGAACTGGATGCTCCAAAAATGAAGCGCTCTTACTGGTGAAAAATGCCCGTCCCATGGCAAATCCTAACCCTGGTTTTCATTCCCAGCTTTTATATTGGGAAGAAGGAGGTTTTTATCGGGTAGTAGACAGTTTGACCGCCTCTCTTACCGCCAATGAATTGAGACAAGATGGTGCGCTGGAAACATACATGGAAAAATACTTCCCCTTACTTATTCGTGTTAACAGGTTCGTGTGTGACAGAGAATTTTTTGCCCTTGTCATAGCTGAAGCAGGTCTTGGTGAAGACAGCATTCGTTATGTCTTGGAGAAAGTTTATAGATATATTGCGTTCGCTATAGCGGATGAGTTGTATGTCGATATTCCTGCATTCTTTGATAATATTTGCGAAACAAATGCGAGTTTTGCTCGTTTCCTTCCAACTTTATTTGTTCATACTGAGGAAAGGACAGGTTACTATTTTGATGATTTGTTGTATTACGAATTTTGCAAAAATCTTGCTAGCGTGGGGGATACAGGTAAATCCTTCATTATTGTGAAGGCGTTTTGCTCTTTTTTCGAGGCCATAGGATCAAAACATTTTTTGAACAACCCGGGGGGGCGTCCGCAAACTCTTGATTCTTTTGGGAAAGTGGTTGGGACGCCTTACGAGGAATTAAGTTTGACATTCCCTTTCCTTCCCTTTTTGGCACCTTTTGCGGCAGGATTTGTTCCGCAGCAACAACTTGAGGCTTTGGGAAAAGAAAAATGGACCACACAAGTGATGGAACGTAACCTGTCTGATCTGTTGTCACTTTTTCAAGAAAATTTTCTTTTAACGACTTTTAAAACTGGAATATCTCCTGATACTTTTTCAGCGGTGGGCCGCTGGCATGCGAATTCACGCCTTCTTTTTTTGGAGTCCGATATGGAGGTGAAAGTGTTGGAAAGTGTGGAAAGAGGCTCCACGTTGTCGGATGCTGTAAGCCCTTACCTGCACTTAGATCATTTAGATCAAAATTCTTGTTTGACCTGGATGCGCAAGGTCACCGGTGCAGTCATAGGGACACGATTTTTTTATGATGCTGTAGACCGCTATTTTAATGCTCAATTTAGAGATAGCATTTCGGATGATACAGCGTATTTGATGGCCGATAAGTTTGCACCGTGGGAAGAAATTTTTAAAATAATACAATCTGCAGGTGAATTGTATGCCAAAAAATGTGGTGGAGAGTCTCCTGCCCTTTTGGCATGGATACGAGAGGAGTTGAGACCATTGGTTTCAATTGGCGTCGTCTCCATCCCCTCACCGTAAGGACTGAGAACCATATTTGTTTGCTCTTATCAGTGTGATCATTGTGCTCATTTTTTTTTTTTTTTTCACTCTAACCTCATGCTCTATATAATTAGGATTTGGTGACGATCAACTTTGGTAGCTTTCGTTTATTCTTCTTGCTCTTTATCTCTTTTACGATTATAAAAAGTAGTTTATTAGAGATGGCAAGCGCTTTTGATGAGATTACTCGTCAATTTTTAAAGCGTAACTATGACGTGTTTGATCGAGATAAAATTGGGCGCGTACCTATTTCGGATCTTATTACTCTCTTGCAGGTCTGTGGAGCCACACCCTCTGAATTAGATGTGGAGAGCTGGAAAAAAGAAGCGGATCCTGACGGACGCGGATCCATGAATTTTGAAGGCTTTTGTCGCGTTATGATGATTGCCTTTCAAAACATGAAGACTTCGAGAGATCTTAGGGCGGCATTTGAAGGACTGGATCCGGAAGGCAAAGGGCTCTTGTCTCAAAATGAACTTCGCTATTATTTGACCACTTATGGCGACCGCTTAAGTACAGAGGAAATGAACGAGTTTGTTGAAGAGATGCGGTCTGAGATGGACATGGAAGGCAACTTTGTCGTTACAGATCTCGTCTACAAGATGACCCCGGAAATGTTTCGTTGACGCTGGAGAATGATGACTTCTCTCATTCGTAAACATGTGTATAACTCGCCGGAGTTTTATGTATTTTTGTTGTTCTTTGGTGTTGATTGGGTGAAAGTATCTCCCGCTGCGCTGTCTGAATTTATTTGTTATGTTGTTGAATCCGCTTTTTTTTTGTTGCAATTTTATTTATTTCATTTACTTTATTTTCCTTCCTTGCTTTCTAACTGTGTATTATGTGTTGGACGTCTTTTTGTTTGTTTGTTTTTGTGTGTTTGTGTGTGCCTCAAGTTAATAATGGTGGCCGTACCCGTTATTCTTGAGGACACATTCACGGTTACGGCCCTCAATCCGGACGGAGTTGTCTACATTAAGGTGTCGCGAATTCAGTGCAAAAATGAGCGCGGGAATATCACTATCACATCGGATATAAACACCGAAGAGTTTCCGGTGAGTCTAGATGATCGTCTCACCATCATGCTGGCGAACTCCATTGAATTATCCGGACAGTCTGGGGCAAAACATTATGACCAGAGCGTTTACCACCGCGAGACACGCTTGCAGGATTGCGACTACGCCATGCATGGTCGTGTGTACGGCCATGAGGTGGATGAGAGTAGCTTGGATGTTAAGGTACACATCAGCTGTGGTGGACTTTTGACGCAAGTTATCGGCACACCGCAGAGCTTGCGGGATATTCACTATAATAGCGATGTATACATCTTGATAAAACGCGTTGGAAAATGAAATCAAGGAGACCATGCTCTGTTTGGGGATATTGGCGGTCGTCCGTGAGGGTGTTTCATTAACCAAAAAAAAAAAAACATCCATGCATCGACGTACGTGAGATAAATATATTAAGAGTTATTTATTTATTTATTTATAAATCAAATAGAAGCTTGAAAAGAAAGAACGAGAAGAGCTTATTATATGTCCCCTCTTTCTCTCTCTTTCTCCCTTTCTATATATATATATATATATATATATATATTCATTTATTCATTTGTGTGCCCTTTTTAAAATCTTTTTTTGGACGTTGTTACTTTTTTTTTTTTTTTTCCTGCTTTGGTATTGTGTTTTTGATACGCGGTTCGATGTGTTTTCCTCCGCTTTAGCCTCGAAAAAACGACTATGCGGCGTTCCAGAAACGCGGTCTTTATTTCTTTGTACGGAGTGTTTTTACACCATCAACGGTGTTCCAACAGGGATGTCAGGGAACCCTATCGTCGTCGCTCTTCTGATCCAAAAACCATCAGGGAGAAGGGAGATTTTCAGAGAGACATGAAGTTTTCCAAGCAGCGTCCTCTCCCGACTGCCCCATGGCTCCAGGACAAGAAGCGAACCTACATGGATGATGCCGAACGTTTGTATGGGCGGAAAGAGACCTGGTGCAACGTGAAGGATGAGGCATTGCGTGAAAAGTTGGCATCTTTGTTACAAGACTACTTAAAAGACATGATTGACGCGACGAGGCTCGACATTCGTGATGCAAAGAAGTATATGCGGCTCTGCGAACAAATGGATGCCGAATACCGTAGTTACGTGGCAGCAGCGACTTTTTCCTCACCACACCTTCTTCGTTCTTGGGCATTGACTGTATGCCAAAAGGATGAAAAGGAAAGCCGCATGCTGTCTGCATTGGGCGATTCTCAAGAAGGCAGTTTGTCAAGGGAAGATGATGTTATGGATCCGCTAAGAGAAGAGGAAGAGGGAGATGGAGCCAATGAAGAAGAACACCAGGAGACGCGTCTAACAAGAAAGAGGTTTTTAGAATCTCGACGTCGCCAAGGTGAGGAAGCCACGCTGGAGAATACACCCGCCACCATGGACCTTTTGAACGGAGAGAGGCAAAACGCTCCCTATTCGGCATTTCCGTTTTTGCGCCAACGGGCAATGGAGAACGAAACAACATTAGACCCTTCTTTGGTTGATTGGACAGCGAAGTATTTCCCGGAGGATGACGACCGCACCTTCTCATCTCCACCCAAGCTGCACGGGGATGCAGAGGAGGGTGAGCCAAGCACTGGCTCATCAAGCACACAGGTTTCTGCAGGGAATAATGATTTCTCGTCTCCCAAACCGAATGCACGTCGTCGCTTGCAGCGCTCTTTAAGGCTCCATCAAGACATGCATCGCCCTACATTTGACGCGGAGGGGGTCTTTTATCGTGTTCGTCGACAAGGCAATGACGATGATCGCGCGTCAAAGCCGCGAGAGGTCCGTGGTTCCGATGCAAGCATCGACAGAGACAGTGAAATGGTTAAGGTGCCATGGGAAACGGTGGTGAAGGCGAAGGAGCAAGGCTATTCTGTGGATATATTACGCGCAAAAGAGCGACTCATGCGTCTTTCAAGAGGCGAGGATCCAAAGACCATTCCGTGATTGTTTTTTTCTATGTCCTTCTTATCAACTGCCTTATTTTTGGGGAGTTGCTTTTGTTATTGTTGTTATTCTCTGTCCATGTGGTGTGTGTTCTTGCTGTGCGAAAAGGATTAGTGGGTGAGATATGGTGAGATAAATTTCTTAATCTTTTACTTCTTCGTCTGGGACGTGTGTCAGGGATGTGGACACTTGACGAGTGAGTATGGTAGGGACAAGCCTGAGAGGTCAAGTTGTTAAGTGTAGCGCAGATCTTGGTGTTGGCATCATTAAACCATTTCTTCATTGTGTTGCCGCTGTGAATTCGTGCGAGGGAGAATTGCTGGACGTGAAACCAACCGATCGCATCGTGTTTTTTCTAAAGGACGTACAGATGAAATGCGTAAAGCAAAGCTTGTATACCGAAACCCAGAAACGATTAGCTGCGGTGATTCCCATCATACATACGGGTACTGAAGTTAGCTTTATGTTGGGGCAACACGCTTTCTCAGAGAGGGACCTCATCATGGGCGCACGTCAGGGTATCCAGGCAAAAAAAATCACAATAAATGGGACATCACGAGACACTTCTTCACATTGTATGAGCAACCTCGAATGGCTGAAGTGGAGAGAGGAGCAAAGACAGTTGGAGGAGCTGCTTCAAACGAGGGGACGGACAGATGCCCGTACTCCCCATTGTGTCGGGTTGGACTTGCTCAGCGTCATGCCCATTGACTTCTGAGACGATGAAAAGGGCACTGACGTTTTTTATTTTATTTTTTACCTTAATTTTTGTTGTTGTTGTTTTGTTTGTTGTCTTAAGAAGACCGAAAAGAGCAGCAAAAGGAGGGAAGGAACCGATATCCTCCACAGAAGGTACACACATACACGCACGTACATATGTGTCTCCGCATTTTCTCTCTGGCCGAACATTTGGGGTGGCCAAATTCCTTTTTTTCTTTTTTTTTGTTCCTTTTTCTCATTTTTTCCACCAAGACCGGGCACCAAAGGAGGAGCATCAATTAATACAAAAAGAAAAGAGCAAAAAGAAAAGGGAGTTTTATCCGCCACACTTGAAATAAGCTAACGACTTCTCCATGTTTCGTGTCTCTCAAATCAGTCGTATGACGCCATGCGGCGTACTTTACAACAAGGGAAAGGTAATATCATGGATGTCCGGGCGCGGCTTTGGCTTCATTGAGGACGACACGGACAAGAAGCAGCACTTTGTCCACTTCTCCGCTCTCCAAACTGAAACGGGTGGTTTTCGCTCTCTCACCGTAGGCCAGGAGGTGGAGTTCGAGGTTGCCTCGCAGGACGGGCGCACCCGTGCGGAAAATGTGACCGCGCCAGGGGGATCCAAATTGCCATCCGGTCCCCGACCTCCTGAGGGGATGGGCCGCGGACGCGGTGGTGGTGGTCGTGGCCGCGGTGGCGGTGGTCGAGGCTTTGGTGGCAGTGGAGGCCGAGGGGGTGGTGAAAACTACCAAGGCAGGGGCAACCAGAGTCTCAGCGATGACTTCTAAATCAAATTGGAGGAAAAGAAGAAGAAATGAACAGGCGTGTGATGTGCACTTTAGTTATGCAACAAGGGGTGGTGGGGGATAATAACCTGTAATGGGATTATGCATGTTCAGGGAGTGTCTGAGGCGTAAGAGCGGTGTGGAAATGCAAGCACTGTGCGAAGATGAGCCAAAAGCCCCAGAGAAAAGGTAACGATAATAATATAAGCACATGAAGAATGAGAATAAAATGGGCAAAGGCACAAAAATTAAATTAAATAAACAACAACAAAAAAGCGTGCGTCATTTGATAAAAAGAGAATGGGGTGTGGATCTAAATTGCACCCGTTCCTGCCGTATTCAAATTTTTCAAAGTTGTTTGTATCGCTCGCACAAGCAAGAAGGGAAGACGCAAACGCCTGCGCAAAGAGACACATGTGGGGATTTCGAGGCAAAAAGCAACCAATGCAACTCCCGAAAGAATGGAGAGGGAAAAGAAAAAGAGAGAGACAAAGATAAAGGGGATTAAAAAAAAAAAAAAGAATAAGAAGCGAATTGAGGGAATCAGAACAGAAACAAAAAAGCCCCTGATGCCTCCGTAGTAGCCACGTTAGAGAGGAAGAATGGCCTCATCTCTTAACGATATAAACCGATTTCTTTCACTTCAGGTTGGGGTTGGCGTTTTGTTTTGCCTTTTTTCATTTATTTTGTATTCCCTCAACTACCGTTGTTTTTTAAAGCTTGTTATTTATTTATTTATTTTTGTTTGTTTTGTTTTTTTCTTCTCTGTGCAACCCCTCCTTCTCCTCCTCCTGTCAGGTACTTTAGACAAGTATCTCCAACCTACGCACGAAAATAACTGAATAAAAAAAAAACTTATTTTGTTTGGATTGGGATAATTTCAAGGAGATGGACAAAGTGGAATCGCATGGTGCTGACAAATGTATGTGCAGTTGTGCCATGTGTAGGCTCACGTGCTACATTTCTGCTGCGTACGGAAACCAGAGAAGGGCATCTACACATGTGTTGCTTGCTCGCCCATCGCCTTTTTACGCGGCAACAGGAGGCATGCCTCCGCCATTACAACCATTGGATGCGACCCCTCACCAGCATGAGACGCGTGTGTGTCCAGTTTACGAGTCCTACGGTTTTTGTCCTTTTGTTAGCGTCTGTTTTTTACCTCATGTTGCTGGCGCTGAACCCCTAGTGAAGCCAGCGACCAACGCTAACGAAGAATTTGACCGTCTTGTCGCAAAGGTACGTGTGGAGGAGGATCAGGAAATATGGAGCTGTGCTGTATGCGGTTATGACGGCATCGATGAGAATAGTCAAAGTAAGGTTGGCGAAATGTACTACTACCGTCAGTGCCCTTGTTGCTCCTTGATGTGCTACTTTCCACATCTCGTGTATTTAGTTGAGGCTGTGCTTCAAGAAAGTGGTGATGACTACCAGACGTATAAAACCGTGATTGATCGTTATCGAGAGGCAATACCTGATATATTAAAGATACCCCTCACATACGAAGCGCACCGTATCGCCTCTATGGCGTTTGCCTGGAGTCTAGTTTCACCTAAGTGCGTGAAAGATGCACTGGATGCTGCGTATAGAGCGCTACCTGAGATGAGCGCACTTGTTAGCATTGGTAGTGGCACCGGCTACATAGAGCACATCTTCAACCGAGTTGCAAATGGGGTGGCGGCTGTTCCAAAGGATCCGGATCCATCGCTGGGTCCTTCCTCCTTTGAAGGTGTACATGCCTCTTTTTATCCACATAAAAAATTGCCTATCTTTGCCTTTGATGAAGTTGCATTAAACTGTCCCTACAGTGTTGCGGTTTCACTAGGTGGCCCAGCGTCGCTTCTCTCTCTGAAATGCTCGACATCCGTTTTGCTTTTGTGTTGGCCGCCTTTTGGTTCACCTCAAGAGGAGCAAAGTTCTATGGGCTTTGAGGCGCTGGAGTACTTTACACAGGCAGGTGGACAGATTGTAATCTACATTGGAGACGTGGCATCCACAGGGGACTGGCGTTTTCACGAGCTACTCTACACGCATTACAAGCTCCTCAAGGATTACCCGGTTCGTCGTGAGCTCCGTCGATGGTACCCTCAAGAAATGGGTCTTATTTACGCAGGAAACGACACCATCGGTGTATACAAAGTGAGAAACCAACCATTACCTTCTCCACAGTGGCAATGGGGAAACTGCACTGCTTGATTTACTCAGCCCAGACGTACTTTATTTATTTTATTTTATTTTTTTTGAAGAGAGATTGTGTGAGAGCAAACAAAAGGGAGGGGAGGAATCCATTAGGCCAGCATGCGTCTGGCAGACACACCCAATGAGAGGAATAATACTAATAATAATAATAATAATAATGGTCGTACCTTCTTCTCGTATTGTTTGCACTGCGTGCGTCGTGAGAAAGGAAGTGCGTTTATGGGCGAGTTCGTGTCTCGCGCACTGCCCACGAAGCGCCCCAGACCTTTTGGGGTGGATTGGGTCGCCGGCACAAGGGCCTTTAGGGGTTTTGCGCAACGGAGTGGTTCAACGGCATTTTTTTGTTTGACTCTCGTCCAGCGACCAGCCACCACGTGGGCGGCATCCCTCGAGGAAATGCCGTCAAGCAAAGGGGCACTGCGAGGAGGAGTGCAGGAGGCGGGTGAAGAGCGCTTTCCACAACTCCACCCTTATTTCGTCAGTAATTCATGATGATGATGATGATGGATAGTGCGGGGTCGTCTTGGACTCCCTATTGGCAAATAAAAAAATATGCACGTGATCATAGAGGCAACACGAAGAAAATACATCATGTTTCTCTCTCGCTTTTTTTTTTTTTTTTCTTTTTTTTTTTTTGTGCGTGTGAGGGGGGGGGGAATTAAGGCATGGAATGTTCTTATTTATTATTACTATTTTTATGATGCATATTTCAATTTTGGGGGGGATTTTTTAGAAGGAAGAGCTAACCTTTGCTAAAAACGGTTGTACGCATGTTGTTTTTTTTAAAGCATGAGCGCAAAAACCTCTAACCAGTGCTTCCATGAAAAGATGGTTGTTGGCCTACTTTTGCCTTGTTTTGCTTTGCTGCGGGAAGTGGGGAGCGAATGAGTGTGGATTCTCTTGGTTGTTGTTTCCTTCCTTTCGTATTTTGACGTACTGTTGCCATAACCACTAAGTTGTAGATGTATTTTTATATTTATATATAAATATAGCTATTGCTGTGTTTAGGCGTGTTACTATGGTTTTGTGCTCGTCAGTCATTGCAATTGGTTTCAGAGCAAAATACCTTTGCTTTTTCCATTTGTTTTTGTTTTTCTTTATACACCTATTTGGACGCCCAAATGCGTGTATTTTTAAATCATCAAATTGGTGGGAAATGGGAAGATTCGAATTAGTGACAAAATTCCGCGAGCTGTGGATTTGTGATTTTTTATTGTAATGTGTGATGAATCAGTTTGAGTTATTTGTGGCAAGTTCAGAGAGTGCCAGATCTGATGCCTGGCGTTACCTTCGACGTCTTAGAGAGTTGGACAACAGAATCGATGAGAACATGCAGCGTCTCCGCGAGATAGCAGAGACTGTGGTGAAACCCACCGTTACGCAAAGAACTGAAGAAAGAAAGAGGAAGAATGGCTTACCGCACGGGAATGAGAAACGAGGGCGCTCACCTCCAGGAACTGTGACGAGTGGAGCTTTTTTTAGGGGGCATGGTGAGGATGAGGATGACGTGTCCTCGGAAACCTCTGTTGTGTTATTAGAGCCGAGTGAGGCCAAGCTACGTGTGGAGTATCGCGCTTGTCGGCATCGCGTTTTGAGGTATGCGTTGGAACGGGAGGCAGTGGCGGAGGAACTTAAGGCGTGTGGAAGTGAAATGAAAAAGTGTCTCGCGGTTCGTATGGCCAAACTGCGGCAGACGTTGCGTGGGGTCGAATACTCCTCTCCGGGTACTTCATCCTAGTTGCTGCTATCGATGGCGTGGTGAGGCCGTGCATAGGGAAAATGACAATAGGTAACCGTCCCCTGTGTGTATTATTATTATTATTGTTGTTGTTATTATTATTATTGGTGACAAGATTTTTAAACGTGTTTTGCGTCTTATCTGCAATGTCATCTCTTTTTGTTGTTGTTGTTTTGCTTGCATTCTCCTGTTGTGCTATTTTCCACCGGATGCATGTTGTCTGCGTTGGATGGTACCCGTGAAAAGGGCAAAAAAAGTAAAGGAGCAGCTTTTTCTCTTCAGTGCGCTGCTCAGGGGAACGTCATGGCCACAATCCGGCGGAAGGCACCTCGCCTGTTCACTGGTGCTGTTTTTACAGAGGAGATCAGTCGTGGTCTCATGACTTTTTCAGATCGTCACAACTTGACGAGTGATGTATGGGTGCCGAAAAAGTTGGTGGGGAAGATGAAGGCAGGAGCCACTCTTTTGCCAAATGCGATTCTTTGTGACGTGTCACTGATTCCAGGCTGCGGGGCTGTCGATCTTAAAACCATTGGCTTTGAACGTGTTTTGGTAAACGCTGCACACACAACGGATGTGGAGTTTTTTGAAGGCTACAGGAACGATATTTTGAATGGCTTGGCTGGAGCGCTTCCACTGACGGTGACAGGAGCTCCACATCGCGATGTTCGCCTTGCCTCACTTGCCGTTGATGGGAGCCAGCGGGGGTTTCAAAGCCCCTACTGGCTAAGACTTTGGGGGAGAAGGCGTCAATGGGTGAACGCTGAGGAAACCCCTTTCCCAGGACGCCTGAATCCCACAGACTGTACTTCATATGAACCTCACACCTTCACAAACCAGCTGTTTTCTCGAGCGGTTGTCCGGTTGATGCGACGAAGGGCTTCTCGCTATGGGTACGTCTCACGCACTTGGATAACACTAAAAGAAGGTGAGGCGCATGGGACTCAACTTGATGCCGAACGGATAAAGGACGGCCCACCGATATTTGTATCACAGTTTTCCGGAAGCGGTCAAGTACAGGCTGTGGAATTCTTCTGTGCCGATCAGTTTGAGGATTGCACCGTGTTTCCCACTCAGAGGGAAATCGATCTGGCAGCTAGCGGAGTTTTCATTGGGGCAGAAAAGGTGCGCGGATACCCTTTGTTGGCTTCCCTCGCGGTGGAATCATCTTCATCTGACAGACATCGTCGCATGGCAGAGGAGACGGCAAAACTGTCTGATCCCGTGGTGTTTGGTGCCACACGCGCTCTTGAGCCCCAATTTTTAGGTTCAGAATTTAAAGAATCTCTTCGGAAGTTTTCGCTTCTCCGTGGGTTTTCGAAGCCTCACTTTTTTTTTCACACCGCAGAAACCGCGAAATACTTGCGACTGAAGCCACAAGAGCAAGGCATATTGTACAACCCACCCGCGACCTCCATTGGGCCCCGTCCTGAGCAGAGCCGCCATTGTGCTTTTAACGTGCAACAGTTTGAGGAGCCGGCCGTAGTGGAGGAAATTATATTTAGGACTCCAACCTTCTTCTTAACTCAGGTGCCAATCGCAGGACCGATGGTAGTGGAATGCGCACGGGCACAATGCAGAAACCGGGAGTATTCGCAAATGTGGTTACCGGCTCGTGCATTGGACTACCTTGCTGGAGCGTGGGCAATTTCCCCAGGAGCCGTTGTAGTGCCGAGGGATGAGACGTTACTTGCGTTCTCTCCCAAGATGTACAACGCTTCGGAAGTGAGTATTCCATCCGAGGCACTGGAATGGTGGCCAAACTACAAGCCCCACAACATGCACAACAATTTGTACAGGGGTCAAGTGAGAATGCTGCTTTCGTTGCGCGCATGGGAGCGACAGTATAAATCCCCCTTGTGGATCACACAAAAATTGATGTCTCGTTTGGGAATAACAACAAAACGACAGACTCGATGGAAACTTTTTCTCACAGGAAAGCCGTTTGAAAAGCCCCCTACCGTTCTTATAGACGATGATGAATACACAAACATGGAGGAGATCAAAAACCCTGACGTACTTATGGCAAGCATGTCTAACGCAGACAGCGACATTAACGTGTTGGCGAAGAAAGGTTAGTGTGAAATTTGATCTCTTTTATATCAATGATATGCGTGTACTTTTTCCGCTGTGCGTGTATGTGTGGGAGGGGGAGATATTTCTCAGAAAAGCTTTTGGCAAATTCAATCGAAGAAAAGATTTTGTCGCAATAATAATTATTATTATTTTTTGTTATTGCTCTTTCTTTTTCTTTTTCTTTTTTTTTTTTTTTAGTTTGTTAATTTCTGGGAGTTGTGGTGCTCTCTTTTATCCCTTTTTTTTTGTTTGTTTGTTTCTTTTTGGGGTTGGATTTGCATCGTGGGTGAGTAAATGAAAAAGAATTGGAGCGTGCCTTGTTTGTTCCTTCGTTTCAGTGCATTTCCGTGTGGGCCTCACCCTATTCTTTTGTCTCCCCACCCCTTTTTTTTTTTTTGCTTGTTTGCTTCTATGCCGTCAGCGGCCGATCACACGGGAGCGGGGCATTTTTTTTTTTTTGCGCAAGACGCACTTGCATGTCGCCTCATCGAAAGCGTCCACGCGAGGAGAAACGAACACGTCACACACACGAAAGTGATGACGATAGGGATGGGGAGGATGAGGAGGAGCTCGGCGAAGACCTCTTTGGGGAGAACTACGAACGGGACTATCTTAACCCGGAGGACGAGAGCGAGCTCGCAGAGGACGACGTCGCGGACGATGACGATTGGATCGATGATACCAGTGACGTGTCAGTCATCTCAGAATCCGGTCGCCTGGCAGTAGATGCGCTGTTGGACAGGCGAAAAGAGATGGAGCAGCGGCTTCGTGAGGAACAACGCGAGCTTGAAAAAGGTGTGTTTAGTGACGTGGACGACGAGGAGTCGGTCATCAGTGCGGAAAGTGATTACTACAATGCCGCCGATCCCGACGATGACGGTGGGGAGGAAGATGAGGCGGGGCGAAATAGAGTTGGTCTCAACAATGGTGAGGATGGGGATACGGACTATACTGGGGGCAATAAAGATGATGGTGTGTATGTTCGTGGTGACATGGAGGCAATGGACTTTGATTGGCGTCGACCGCAGTGTGATTTGATAGAGTGGCTTGCACAGGAGCTTCCTCGAAGGGTCGTTAAAAACCGCATCTATAACTTCTACTTGAACTACGTGGAGAATGGCGTCAGTGTGTACGAACAAAAGGTGAATTTGATGACGCGGGAAAACGAACAGAGTTTCGAACTGAGTTACAGTCACTTGGGACGTGCCTATGACTCGGTGTTGGCACTGTGGTTAGTGGATGTCCCCGATCTCATGATTGAATTATTAGAGGATGCTGCAAATTACTTCGTATTTCGTTTGTTCCCACATTACCAGAAAGTGCATCGGCGTATTTTAGTCCGAATTTGTGATTTGCCGCTTTGCGACCCTATTCGTGACTTTCGTCAAATTCACATGAATGTTTTGGTGCGCGTGGAGGGTGTGGTGATTCGACGGTCCCCTGTTTATCCCCAGATGCAGGCAGTTCGCTACGACTGTGTTCGCTGCAGTTACATTATTGGACCCATTTATCAACGGGGCGACAAGGAGCAGCGTGTGAGCATGTGCCCGAGCTGCCATAGTAAAGGGCCATTTCGTGTCAACATGACACTCACCGAATACCGTAACCATCAAACAGTTTTGCTGCAGGAATCTCCGGGAAAGGTACCGCCTGGTCGTCTCCCACGAAGTTTGGAGGTGATACTCACAAATGATCTTATTGATCGCGCCAATCCTGGGGAGGAGGTAGACGTCACTGGCATTTACCGGAATAATTTTGATCCGCTTTTGAACAGTCGTCAAGGGTTCCCTGTGTTTACGACCGTACTGCATGCCAACAACGTGGTACGTCGCAGTGCGGAGGTGGGGAGTTTTAGGCTTCCCGATGACGAAAGAGCTCGAATCATGGAATTGGCAAAGCATCCAAATCTGAAGCGCAAGATGCTCCGCTCTATCGCACCAAGTATTCACGGTCGCGATGACATAAAGCTTGGTTTGCTTCTCGCCATGCTTGGTGGTGTGCCGAAGGATGTGGGCGGGGACCAGTCGCACCGTATTCGTGGCGATATCAATGTGTTGCTTGTTGGAGACCCGGGGTGCGCCAAGTCCCAGTTCTTGAAATTTGTGGAGAAGACGGCGAACCGTGCTGTGTTCACAACAGGACGGGGTTCGACTGCGGTGGGTCTCACAGCCTCCGTGCACAAGGACAGTGTGACGGGAGATTTTGTGCTGGAAGGTGGGGCGCTTGTCATTGCAGACCGTGGCATCTGTCTGATTGACGAGTTTGACAAGATGTCTGACCAGGATCGAACTTCCATCCACGAGGCGATGGAGCAGCAGACGATATCTGTTGCTCGTGGTGGTATCGTCACGACACTCTCGGCGCGGTGCAGCATTGCAGCAGCAGCAAATCCAATAGGTGGGCGCTACGATCCGTCGTTGTCGTTTGATGCAAACGTGAACCTTACGACGCCGATTCTCTCACGTTTTGACTTGCTGTTTGTTGTTAGGGACGAAGTTAATGTGGAGCTTGACGAAAAATTGGCGACTTTTATATGTCACTCTCACATCCGCAATCATCCTCGCTCCCAGGAAGAGAACAAACGCACTGAGCGAGAGTTGCATCAGCAATTATCGAGGCTTCGTTACGCCCTGGAGAATGCATCGACGGAGGAGGAGCGTCACGTCATTGAGGGGCAGTTGCAAGAACTGCGCCATCATCTTCAGGAGAAGCCGCGGGAGGAGGATGAAGACCCGTCGAGCAACAAGCCACTGCCCCAGCCACTTCTGCGGAAGTACATACTGTACGCCAAGGCACACTGCCACCCGCGCGTCTCAAACATTGACGCAAACACCATCGCACGGCTTTACACGGAGCTGCGGCAGGAGTCGAAACACGGCGGCGTGGCAATCACCGTTCGTCACATGGAGTCTGTGATTCGTCTTGCGGAGGCGCATGCGCGGCTTTACCTCCGCGATTTTGTCCGTGACGAGGACGTCAACGCTGCCATCTCTCTCTTTTTGCGCTGTTTTATCCAGACGCAGAAATACAGTCTGCGTAGCGCGATGGAAAATCGCTTTCGGAAATACCTGGACTCCGAGATGGAGCCAATTCCACTTATCCAGCACCACATTAGGGTGGCGGTGCACTCCATCCGCGCCTTTGAGCGGCAAATTTCCGGCGGAGTGGAACCAACCAAAGTGCGGATCGACGTCGCTCAACTGGAGCACTGCACGGCGAACATATCGAGAGAAGCCCTTAACACCTTTTTTGAATCCGAGGAGTTTAAGAAGGATTACAAATTAATTTGTGACCCCGCTACAGGGGCAAGACTTCAGATAGAGCACTCGTTGGTGTGACTTGTGTTGTTGTTTTCCTTTTTGTTTTTTTGTGTCTCTCGACGAATGAAAATGAAAAGGAGGTGAGGCGGGGGAGACGCCTTTTGGTGCAAAACTTCCTTTTTGTTGTTGTGGCATTTTTTGTGTGTGTGATTTTTTACTCCTTCACATGTTGGCTTTATGAATCGCGGTTTCCGTGTGTGTACCTTGTGGGTACGAGGCCATCAGGCCGTACTGTGTCGTTACTCCTTCCTCTTTTTTTCCCTTTCTCTCTCTCGTTTCTTCCTTCACGGTTTCTTGCTTGGGATCAGGGAAGGCAAGGTGCCGTGTTTCTGTGACCGGTTTTCATGTCTGTATGATGTACATTCCCGTCATGATGTCCCCAGAGGTGGCGAAGGCCCCTAATGCCGCGGTGAATTCAGCGAGGAGCTCCATTTTTCCTCCCCGACGCACGCAGCCAAGAGAGTGTTTACAGCAACCACCTCAATGCATGCGAGAGCGCGTCCCAGAGAAATTTTCTTTGCCAACATCGTCGCCATCGCCCACCGTTACGGTGTCACCTGCAACGCCTCACATGGCACGGCTGTTAGGTTTATCATCAAAATTTCAAAAATGTTCCGATGATGCGACTGTGGGGGACATACATCAGCTTCTGTTTAGCCATTCTTCCTGTCGGCCGGCAGAGAGACATTCATTGAGATTGTCGTCATACATCGAATCTGGCCAATCAACGCAGCAACACCGGAAGGAGAGCCTGCACGGGTTATTGAAGGGCGAAAAATGTCTTGTGGACGACGAGAATTTTGTTAAAGAAAAGGACAACATCGCCTTGGTGGAAAATGATGGAAATTCCGTTCTGTTTCATGTGAAGTGTACAAACTGCGCTTCCGATGAGCGTATACTTATCGATATAAACACGCCGACCGTATCCTACTGCCCATTTTGCGGTTTTCCTCAGCCGTAAAAGAAGAACAACAACAACAAAATATAGGGGCTATTGTTGATTCTTTTAGAGCTTTAAAGATGGGCTGCGTCGCGGCACATGTGCTTGCTGCATTGAAACACAATGCACATGTATGTACGCATGTCTGTATTTTTTTTTTTTATTTTTTTTTTTTGGCTCTTGTTTTAGTTGCAACCGAGAGGGTCTTTCATTGGAGTTGTCACATTTATTGCAATAAAACAGGCATTAAATGAATGCCATCAAACTTTTGACGGGGTACCTACTGGTTTCTTTTGAGGAACTGGGGATTGTTGGGTCTCTGTTTCTCGCGGCAGCGGGAGCTGTGGTGGTATGTGCGTGGACCGCCTGGTGGCTGCGACCGCGCCATTCGGTTGCGTCTTCTGAAGAGGTCAAATTTGACAAGGATGTTGGAGAGGCCGCATTAACAGGAAAATCAGAGACAGCAGAAGCCCCAGCAAGAAGGAAGGAAGCAAAAGCACGGTCCGATAAGGATCCCACCGGTAGAATGACTGCACCTGGAGAGCCGAAAAGGGAAGACTCTATACAACCTACTTCTGTCCTGCGTGGATATCCAGAAGTGGACTCCATCATGGTTTCACCATGTCAACGTTACCTATTTATTCATTGCCGTAGCAAACGTAGGGCGCGGTTGTATCCACAGAACAGGAATCGTGCCTTCATGGAACGTGGGAAGGAATTACAGGAGAAGCACTTTGTTTCTGTTGATGAGGCAGTAATTTCTGCTACTGGAGGCGACGCGAAGGTGGAGTTGTATGCTGCTGCCTTTTCCTACGACGGCGAAAGGATTATGATCAGCGAGAGGAACAGTGATACTTTTTTTCTCTTTTCTATTGGCACAAAGTGTCAGTTGACCCTGCAGTCGTCATGTAAGTTGCCCCATCGTAGGCTAGTCTCGACTCTACCGCCGTGGGGGGTGGCCGGCGCGGCCTATGACCTCATTGTTATGACGTACGACAATGGCTGTGAAGTGGAGGTCTTTAGTCTTCAGTCGAAGGAATTTCTCGGAAAGGCGAAGTTCAAGGTGGGAAATGCCTTGGCCTGGGCGCAGCGAGACCTCACCATTGCCGCGGCTGGGTCATTTCTTAAGGAACCGCGGGTGGCGACGTTGCAGGTGCGCCCTAATGGAAACGGGATCCAACTACTAAATAGCGTGAACGTGGAGGAAATTGCGAAGGTGCGTGTCTCTGCATTGTGTCTCACCTCCAAAAACGTTCCGGCGTTTAACACACGCGAGTATCTGATAGCCTTCACGGAAGAAGGTGTCGGATACATTTACGACATTGAGCTGATGACAGTAAACTCCAAAACAGAGCGTTCATTGTCCCTTGTGGGCCGCTTCGAGGATGACTCGTTTGCTGGATACGACGCTGCGTGTCCTGTTCGCATGACATTTTGCATCTACGGTACCTCGCATCACGAGCGTTTGGCTGTTGCGCTTTTCCGGGGCAGCAGCTTAACGGTTTACCGCCAAACTTCTGTGTATGGTAAATCCGATGAGCTCTTTACGATGGAGCCTGTTATGATGCTGCGTCATTGTCACGGGGGTGGTGGAGTAGAGCAGGTGGTGTTTGTCCAGAACGGGGAGGGGCTTGCAACGAGCGGTCGTGCAGACGGCAGGCATATTTGTCTTTGGGCCCTTCCGCCGCTCCCCAATTAATGATGCATGCACACCACTAAGTTTGAAATGCATTTGAATACATCGAGGAGGACAAATGAGGGAAAAAGAGGGAATAAGGGGAAGTGGGTGTTTGCGTGTGTGTGTAAAAAATCTGTGCGGATAGGGAAGCCGCATTGAAACCTTTGGCCAGACTGAGAAGCAACGTTTTGTTGTTGTTGTTTGTTGCACCGAGTATTATTTATTCTTTTTTCTTAATTTTCTCCACCATTTGGTTGCGTTAGTAGAGAGCAAGAGGGCCAGCGACTCTCAACAAAAGGAAAGTGAGTCCATAGAACGCACACACACAAAAGGAGAATTTGACCAATTATAAGAAGAAAAGACACGCAATTTTTTCTTTTGTGTGCCGTAGACCTTTTTTGATTGTGTGCGCCTGTTGGGCGTTGTTGCTTTCTTTTTTTTTTTTTTTTTTTTTTGTTTGTTTGGCGTGCTTCGTACTGCACGTGTAAGGGCGTTTTTTGGTAAAGGGTCTAAAGTGCTTCTTGCAGGCCCTCTGTAAGAGTGATTTTGGGCTTGAAAAGGGGTGAGTGAGAGCGAACTGGAGTTTTTTTAGCTGGTGCATGCAACGCTCAATAGACAGGCCGTTGGGGCGTGGTGGTAATGAGGCGAGAGATAAGCGTCCGCGAAAGCACATCTCCTTTGCCCGTGATGGTGTCAAAGTTTGCTTTGTCAAGCCGCCTCCTCGCTCTATGAATCACTGCTACTGGTTTACGGAGACGGAGTTAGTTGCAAAGAAGGGGCTGTTTTTTGAGGTTGAGCCTGACATTGATGTCTCCGTGGACGTCATGTGTCGTATGCAGCTAACGAGTGTGGCGTCGCAGCCGTGGAAATATCCCCGTTTATTCTCAAAGGGTGGTGGTGCCGGGGAGAAACGGCCCAAAGGCAGGAGTAGCGAGAGGGTTTTCCTGGAGATTAAGGCAACTCCCTCACTTGGGTCTATCGGTGTGTCTCGGCGTGCCTCGCGGTGGTTAACTGTGGCCTCCGTGGAGGAGGGACAGCTCGAAAAAGTGCGTGTCATTCTGCCCGCCGGTAGTTACGCACTGCGTTGCGTAGGACCGAGGCCAGTGCAGGTCTTTGCGCAGGTCTGGGACGTGGAGACACGGCTGGACTAGGAGCTCCGAGGGGAGCGGTGGGTGGAAAGTCCGATCTCAGCGGCCGGCATTTCACATGGGCCCCGCCTCCTCTCTGTGTAAGTGAATACCCCTGTGTGGTGTGGGTGGGTGGGTGTGGGGACCGGAGCCGTCCCTGGGGAGAAGTCACAGACAGAAGGAGGAGGGGGGACGAGAAGAGGAAGAACGAAAGAATGAGGGAGGAGGGGACTTCTCCCAATCGTAGACGAAATGGGGGTTGTTTTGATCCAACACAGCGAATAAAACAAACAAACAAAGAAAAAAAAAGGAAAAAGAGGGGGAAATAAAATGTGTTTGCGTGATTGCCGCGTAGGGGCCTCGGGGATGTTTGGCGTCTTTTTTCCCCTTGCGTGGTTGCGGCGTGTCGGAGAGCTCGACGCGCCTGTCGCTTCAGCGGAATCATACATAATTGCCAAATTGGGCAGACACATGTGTGGAGCATGCATACTCCTGTTGTTTTTTTTTTTTTTGTGTTTGTTTGTTTTTCTGTATTTTAATTTCTGTGTCCGCGTTCAAACAATGGGGCCATTTGGCTTCCTTATCTATTGCATGTATTTCCTTCCTGCGAGCTGTCTTTGGGTGGCGTAAAAGGGGAGCATCGCACAAAATTTTTTTTAAAAATTTAAGTTTTTGAAGAGCGTCTACATCTATAAATATACATATATACATTGTTTGCGTGGTTTTTTTTTTTTTTTTTTAATTTAAAAATAGGGAATGTTAGCGACGGATTTGACGGTGAGGAAGCGTGACGGCTCCCTGCAGAGTTTTGATGCCAATAAGCTCTTTGCACGTATCGAGCGTGTGTCCCATGGACTGGACCCGAATTACGTGGATGTTAAGATTTTGACGGAGATAGTAGTGGGGGGCGTACATGACGAAATCTCCACCGTTGAACTGGACAAGCTCATTGCGGAGACTGCGGCCTACTCGGTGACAAAACACCCGGACTATGGTCTTATGGGTGGTCGTCTTTGTGTGACGGCACTGCATAAGACAACTTCAGCGTCCGTGCTGGAAACATTTTCTATTCTTCACAAACACAAGATTCACGATACAGGTCGTGCGGCTCCTCTTTTGTCGGATGAAGTGTGGGAAGTCGTTCAACGGCACCATGAGCAACTTCAGCGTATGGTGAATTATGACCGAGACATGCGATTTGAGTTCTTTGGTTATAAAACACTTGAACGGTCATACTTGCTGCGGGTGGACAGAGGACGTGGCGAAAGGGAAATTGCTGAGCGTCCGCAGCAAATGTTTTTGCGCGTCGCTCTTGGTATTCACGGTGAAGATATGGAGCGCGTAAAGGAGACATATGACCATATGTCTCTTGGGGACTTCACACATGCCACACCGACATTATTCAATGCCGGAACGCCTTTTCCTCAAATGAGTTCTTGTTTTCTTGTTGCCATGCGGGAGGACAGTATTGAGGGGATTTATGATACATTGAAGCAATGCGCCGTTATAAGTAAATCAGCTGGTGGCATTGGCGTCCACGTGCACAATATCCGCTGTTCCGGGAGCTACATTGCTGGGACAAATGGCCAGTCAAACGGACTTGTACCGATGCTACGTGTTTGGAATAACACGGCGCGCTATGTAGATCAGGGGGGTGGCAAGCGTAAAGGCGCCTTTGCCATCTACTTAGAGCCTTGGCATGGTGATATATTTAATTTTCTTCTTTTGAAGAAAAATACGGGTAAGGAAGACCATAGGGCGCGAGATTTGTTTTACGCTCTTTGGATTCCTGACCTATTCATGGAGCGTGTGAAGAGCGGAGGCAAGTGGACGCTGATGGACCCGCATACGGCGCCAGGACTGAGTGACTGCTATGGTGATGATTTTAAAAAGTTATACGAGGGGTATGAAAGGGAGAATCGAGGCGTCAAGACCGTGCAGGCCCAATCCCTGTGGTTTGCCATACTCGAATCGCAGATGGAAACGGGCGTCCCTTTCATGCTTTACAAGGACGCATGTAACCGTAAATCAAATCAGAAGAATGTTGGAGTCATCAAGTGCTCGAACCTTTGCACAGAGATTATAGAGTATACATCAAGGGATGAGGTCGCGGTGTGCAACCTTGCCTCCATTGCACTTCCACGCTTTGTGGATAAGGAGAGAAGAATTTACGACCACCAGCGGCTGTATGAGGTCACGAAAATTGTCACAAAAAATCTTAATCGAGTGATCGATCGTAACCATTATCCTGTACCCGAGTCGCGCCGAAGCAACGAGCTCAATCGTCCCATTGGAATTGGCGTGCAAGGAATGGCGGATACTTTTATCCTGATGCGGCTACCATTCACATGCCAGGAGGCGAGGACTTTGAATGAAGATATTTTTGAAACGATTTACTACGGTGCTGTGGAGGCGAGCGTGGAACTCGCGGAAGTGGAGGGGCCCTATGCGCGGTTTGCAGGCAGTCCCGCGTCGCAAGGCCAGCTACAGTTTGATCTGTGGGAGCAGAAACCGCGAAGTGGCCGCTGGGATTGGGATGCATTGAAGAAGCGTATGATGAAAAGTGGCATGCGGAATTCGTTACTGTTGGCTCCAATGCCCACTGCATCCACTTCGCAGATACTTGGGAACAATGAGTGCTTTGAGCCATTTACCTCAAATATCTACGTGCGCCGAGTGCTGAGTGGTGAGTTTCCTGTGGTTAACAAGTACCTTGTGATGGATCTCATTAAGCGGGGTCTGTGGAACGAAGAGATGCGCAATCAGATCATTGCCTACAATGGCTCGGTGCAAAATATTAGGGGCATTCCAAATGACCTCAAGGAGCTGTATCGTGTTGTGTGGGAGATTCGGCAGAAGGATCTCATCGAGATGGCTGTGGACCGTGGCAAGTTCATTGACCAGAGTCAAAGCTTGAATCTATTTTTGGAAAATCCAACTTCCAGCCAGCTGACATCCATGCACTTTTTTGCCTGGGAACGTGGCCTAAAGACGGGCATGTATTACTTACGGAGCAAACCGGCTGCGGATGCAATCAAATTTACCGTTGATCCAAATACCTTAAAGGGACTTGTGAAGGAAGATGATCGAAAACAAGTATCCTCCGCGACACCGAGTAATGAGGATTGCTTGAACTGTGGCTCGTGAGTAAAGCCTGCCGGTTGTGGCTCATGCCTTTTCTCTGCACACCTGATGGAACTCAAAGGAATTATGACTTGAAAAGATGTGGTTTTCTTCGCACTGGTTCTTGAGAACCCTCATCACGGGGCTAAAATAAAGAGGCTTTTTTCCCCCTTTCCGTTTCTGTTTCTCTCTCCCTCTGTGTGTCTGTGTGTGCCTTTTTTTTTTTTTTTTTTTTTCATAGAACCTTCTTTTGGATCCTTTTATCGCTTGTGTGTAGGCGTTGGGCGTGTGACATTTCGGACCCACCCTGTGACGGCGCATGTCCCCCCTTTTGGAAGTCAACGCCGCACCCGAAGCGTGACACGAGCGAGTGGCGTAAAAACGAACGCTGTTGTGTTCTCTCCTTCCAAAGAGGGGGTGACGCCGAGAGTTGGGGAGAGGAATAAAGAAAAGAAAAGAAATAAAATAATATACATTTATATTTATAAAACTAAACGTGAGACGTGGCAATACCGATATGATTGCCGGTTATCCATAGACGTATATATATATATATATATATATTCGGTTACAATGAGCCGCTCCCCAACGTGGCACTGTGACTGCAGCCATTACGCAATAAGATACATATATATTTGGGTATCTTTGTTTTTTGTTTGTTTTCTGTTTTTTGTTTTTTTTTCACAAACGCTGTAAAGACGCACACGCAAAAAAAAAAAAAAAAATTGTCGCAGCATCGAAAAGGGAGCATTTATAATTTTCTTTTTTTTTTTTTTTTTATTATCTTTTTTGGTATTTTTTAAATTGTTTTTGTTTGTTTGTTGAATGGAGAGTTGGGCGGATACAAATTTTGAGAGGTGAACAGACGGCGCATTTTATTAATTATTATTATTATTGTTATAGAAACGCTTCATTGCCATTTGATTTTTTTTCTTTTTTTGATTTGGATGGTTTTTGTGTTTATACACATACATATATACATATAAATATATATATGTGTGTGTGTATTCCTTTGCAGGAAGTTGGGGATTCTCTGTTGCCGTGCTGTGACCTTTCTTTCTTCAGATTGTAATGTGTGTACATGTTGCGTGCTTCTTTTATTTTTCTACTTGTTTTCTTTTTTCTTTTTTTTTTTTTTCCGAAACTTCTGCCTACACTTTGATGTGTGTGTCTGTCGCTGCCACAATGAAGATTTGTACGGTGGGGCTGGAGGAGGCGCGGCGAATATTAAAGGTGGAAGGGGGAAAAGGGGGGACGGACGGAAGTAGCGGAGTGGTGAGGCATGCTGGATGGCGGATAGTATCAAGGCACTTGAGGATGAGCTGAATCGCCAGCTGGAGATCCTCGCGGAGGAGCGCAAGGGTCTGAGAGCGCTTCAACGAAAGATGAACCGCGCTGCGGGTGGGCCCAATGAGGGCGATGAGGACAGTAGAGGACGGCAACTCCTGACGGCCAACAAGAAACTCCGTCAGGACCTCGAGAGGTTGAAACGCGAGGGTGCCGTGCCCGAAAGCAGCCCGCAGTTGATTGGCGTACGAAACAAGATTGCCGCTGCCTGGAAGGAGGTGGACGAGGTGGAGCAGGAAGTGGACACCCTGCTGTTGCTGCTGCGTGATAGAAAAAAGGTACTGGAAAGAGAACGCAAATGCAATCGCTCCGTCGACGTCCTTCGGGGGAGGCAGCGGGAGGAGCAACAAAGTCTTCGCGCGAAGATGAAGGAACTTGAGGCCAAGCTCAAAAGATTAGAGAAGAGAGATGTCATGCTACGCAATCGCTTTACGCAACTGCAAAACCAGGTCTTGTTGAATGTAACCGAAAAGGACGCTACCGCATTGAGGAAAAAGCACAAGCAACAGATGAGAACAATCGGCAAGCTTCAGAAACGGCGAGAGGAGCAGGCATCTTCTTGGATCAAAGTGCTGGAAAATGATGGTCAACGCCTTACCATTAGGGAGAAAATGGCAAAGTCCCAAATGGAGAAGGAAATTGCGGAGCTGCAGGCACTCGTGTTAGAACGCAACGAGGAGATTGCCCAGCTAAGGCACCGCCTGGCCAAAAGCTTTTTTTAACACGTTTGATATGTTTTTTTTGTTGTTTTTGGGAAGGAGGGTTGTTGTTGCCTGTCCTTCCCCGCTTCTTGAAGAAAGAGAGAGGAATACACCGCGGATATTTATGTGCATTATTCCAGAGCCGTACTTTTGGTTTTGCTTTTTTTATGTGTCTCTGTTTTCTTTTTCCTGCCTGCACTTGTATGTTAATTTATTCCAACCAGCACCGTGCTTGTGTTTGTTTTGGCTTTGCAGTGGCTTTTTTTTTGTTTTTTTCTTCTTTTTCTTCTGCCACTGCTTCCCATTGGGCCTATTATTATTAAGTGTTACGTGTGTCTGTTTGTGTGTATATATGAGCGAGGTCTTTTTATCCGTACGTTGTAATGGCAGTGTGGTGCTGCAGAGGTGGATTGTTCCCATATGTATTTTTTTCCTTGTTTTTTTTTTTTTTGTGTGTGTGTGCGAGCCTTTCTTGTGTAGAAGAATGTGGTTATGCTTCGAGTCCCACAGTGTTGTCGCTATACGTGTGCTATTCCTTTCTTTGTCTTTTCCCATGTATGTATATATTGTGTGCGCTTCTTTTTTTTTCTCCCTGTTTTTTGGCCTGCACTGCACATACACATACATACATATATATGCTCTTTGGGGTACGAAAGTGAAATAAAGAGGGAGGGGGCATTGTACGGCGAGTATTGTTTGTATACCTGAAGTATCTGCAGGTCTATCTTTCTTCACGTGGATAGAGAGGTAGAGAGACCTTCTGGAGGAAGGAGGCGGAGGAAGAGAACCTGTCGAACAAGGAAGCCAAAAGAGGCAAACAAACAAACAAAAACAAAAGAAAAAGAGAAGAAGAGACGCATCATTTTATTGTGTCTTGGATGTATTATAGAGAAATGGCTAAGTCTTCACCCACGTCGGTTTGTCACATTTCACTAACGAATGGTGAGGATATAACGGAGGCCTCTCGTCACTGCATAACAAAGCCATCGGGGCTTTCATTATTTCATCACAGGGACGAGTCAACGACTTGCGCCTCTCCACGAGCTGAAAATGGCTGCAAAATTGCAACAACTCGGCAATTGACCTTGATAGAACGTCGTGAAAAGAAACATTACAGCACTAGTTTTCCAAGCCTGAGTGCAGAAACGTTACTGGATGATCCCGTGACGCCGTTGCAGGGGATGCTGCT